CATAAATGACTTTGGTCAGAGAAGTTTTGAAGGAGTGGTAGGCACAAGTGGTGAGAGTGGCGATACCTGGAGGGTGGAGGGAAGGTGGGGTAGAAAGGGGGAACCGATTACAAGGATCTACATATAATCGTTTAAAATTTTTCTCTAGAAAATAAAGCAGAAAATAGCAGTAGCTAGAGGGAGAAAGGGGATTCAGATTTTATTATTTTAATGATGAAAGAAATAATAGCATACTTGCTTGCAAATTGGAATGATGCAGTAAAGAAGGAGAAAGTAATAATGGGGGAGCATGTGAGAATTGCTGGAGTGATTTCCTTGAGTAGGCAAGAGCAGGTGAGATTTAGTGCACAAGCAGAGGGGATGGGCTTAGAGATATGGGCAAATCCTCTAGAGGAGGGTTTCTACCTTGACACGAATGACATTGGGGGGTCAGGTAATTATTTGTTATAGAGGCTGCCCTGTGCACAATAGAAGTATCCCTGGGCTCAATCCATTATTTGACAGTAAGACCTCCACCGACCAAAAGCGTGCCTCCCCAAATGAAACCCACACACATAGTGTGAATTCCAACACACACTGACCCTACAAGACAGAGTACAACTGCCCCCCTAGGGTTTCCAAGGCTGTAAATCTTTATGGAAGTAGGAGTGGCTGGTGGATTTGAACTGCCACTATTTCCAAATCGTTGTTAGGGTATCATCCACCTTATAAAAATCTTAGTCCTCATCCCCTTACAGAAGGGTCACGGGGAAGAGATGAGCCAGTCAGGGTGCAGTGTAGCAACGATGAAATATAAAACGTTCCTCTAGTTCTTAAATGGTTCCTCCCCTCCACTATCACGATCCCAATTCTACCTTACAAATCCGGCTAGACCAGAGGATGTACACTGGGACAGATAGGAACTGGAAACACAGGGAATTCAGGACAGATTAACCCCTCAGGACCAGTGGTGAGAGTGGCGATATTGGGAGGGTGGAGAGAAGGTGGGGTAGAAAGGGGGAACCGATTACAAGGATCTACATGTAATCCCCTCCCTGGGGGACAGAGAACAGAAAAGTGGGTGAAGGGAGACATCAGACACTGTAAGATATGACAAAATAATAATAATTTATAAATTATCAAGGGTTCATGGGGGGGGCGGGGAGGGAGGGGAAAAATGAGGAGCTGATACCAAGGGCTCAAGTAGAAAGGAAATGTTTTGAGAATGATGATGGCAACAAATGTACAAATGTGCTTGACACAATAGATGGATGGATGGATTGTGATGAGTTGTATGAGCCCCCAATAAAATGATTAAAAAAAAAGAAATCTTAGTCCTCAAAATGTCATCTTTGTTCTTGAACACGTTAAATAGGTCTCCTGCATACTTGCCCAAAGCAATAGGTCATTTTTATTTCCTGACTGCTGTTCCTATGCATCCAAGTAAATTGAAATCCTTGACGTCAGTTTTTTTTCTCTATTTATTATATCATTTATTGGTCCAGTTTTGAGGATTTTTTTCCTTAACATTGCTTTATAATCCATACTCCAGGCTCTAGTCCTTGGTCTTCATCAGCAAGTGACTAAAGTCCTCCCTTTCAGCAAGCAAAGCAATGTCATCTGCATATCCAAATGTTGGCTACATTTCAATGATTAATAATTCAATCCTAATGCCGTGCTCATCTTCATATAGTCCAGTTTCTCAGATTATTTGATCAGCAGACTGAATAAGTATGGTACAAGGATACAACCCTGCCACAAACCTTTCTTGATTTTGAACCACGAAGTATCCCTTTATTCCGTTTGAATGACTGATTGCCTCTTGGTCTGTGTATAGGTGCCACATGAGCACAATCAAGTGTTCTGGAATTCACATTCTTCCTAATGTAATCTATAGTTTGTTATGATCCACATAGTTGAAAGCCTTTGCAGTCAATAAAACAAATTAAACACCTTTCTGGTATTCTCTGCTTTCAGCCAAGATCCAGCTGATGTCAGCAATGATAGCCCTCTTTGCATATCCTCTTCAGAATCCAACTTGAATTTCTGTTAGCTCCCTGGCAATGTATGGCTGTAATGATTTTTTCTAATTATATATATTTAAAATGTTACTTGCGTGTGATATTAATGATATTGTTGAATAATTTTTGCATTCTTTTGGATCACCTTGTTTGTAATAGACACAAATATGGACCTCTTCCAGTTAACTGGCCAGGTTGTTAGGCATAGACTACTAAGTATATTGGTTTGTTGAAACATTTCAATTGGCATTCCATTAAACCTGGAACCTTGATTTTGGCTAATGTCTTCAGTGCAGTTTGGACCTCTTCCTTCAGTATTATGCTGTCCCTTGAAATGGCTGAATGTTGACAAAGTGTTTTCAGTATAGGGCTGTTTATATGACTGCCATTTTCTTTGGATGCTTCCCAATTCCCTCAATACAGTGGTTACATGTTGGGCTGATAACTGCCAGGTCAGCAATTCAAAACCACCAGTGGTGCGAGACAGAGAATACAGTTTATTGATTTACTTCAAGGTATAGGTTCCTGCAACTATGGGAGGCTGGCAAGTCTAAAATCTGTTGGTCAGGTGACAAGAAGGGTGCAGAATATAGTGTTCTGGAAAACCAGAAGTGTCTACTTTAGTCTGGAGACAGAACACACCCTAGAGAAACTCTCTTTTTGCTCTCAAGGTGTTTGATTGATTGATTGAAGTCTGCCCACATTATGGAATGTAACAGGCTTTACGTGAGGCCTACTGATTCAATCACATCTGTCCATAACAGCTACCCTAGCCAAGTTGACACATTAAATTAACCATCACAAATATATTCCATCAGTGAAGTCAAATACTGGGGAAGCAACACTTTAACAACTAAGACATCTGAGTTCTCAAGTAGAGATGATTTCTGTATATATTTTTCTTATAGCTGTCCAGGCACTTATAGGGTATAGGTTCAGGCACTTATATGGGACTCATACATCTTACTGAACAGACTGAAGTGCCCAGCAAAACTGACCATCTGCGGCGTTATCTGGGACCAAGGTGGTTTAAAAGGTCTTTTTTTTTTTTTAAAGGTGAGAGTCTTTAACAGTCCTTTCCAGCAGGATTTTGCTTAAAAATTGCAACAACAACAGAAAATCATCAACCTAAAAAAGGAACCATCTCAGCACTGGTATTCCTGTACAATAATAAAACAAGACAAAATATTACAAAGTTGTGGGAACAATATTATTGCCTTTAAGGACTGCAGCTACCCACAGCACTAAAATATCATTAGACTGAGTGTGAGTCCAGGGCTGACACTCAACAACTGAATGGTTTCAGACAAGGCATGCAAACTCTTCAGCTTCAACTTCTTCAGCTGACAAATGGAGAGAACCATATCTACCACAGCGACCTCACAGGACTATTACACAGGAATGTATGTGAAAGTAAACCATACTGCACTTTTCTAATAAGAGGGATTATGACTACTCCTTGGGGTAGGGGTGGGGAGAGGGAAACGAAAATACCCTTCCTTTTTAGGAAGGAGAAAAGGAACCAAAACCATTTCTCTAAAACCTGAAAGCTATGTGGCACACACGGGCAGTGCACCAATTTCTTTCCTACATGGAGTGTACGAGTGAGATCTTGTGCAGTTGTGGCGTTCCCCCCCCCCCAAGGACTCCACTAGGACACACAGCAAAGTCTTCTCTAAGATACAAGCCAGACCACAACTGATAGGGGTAATTTTAGGCCCAATTCTTGGCAGCCTTGACAGGACTGACAGGGGTTTGGGAAAAGGTAGGCTGTAGTTATTCTTGAGCTTCCTGGGAGTCCTGACAGCTCATTGTTTCATAGGAAGCATGGAGATTTTCTGAATCTATCCTCTGGCAGGTGGCTCTGGGAGAAACAAAAAGGGCAGACTGAAAGGGGGGCTGTGATGAACCTTACAGGGTGGGAACTGAGGACTTGGAAAGTCTGGTTCTGGAAAACAGCATTCGCTGAACACCTATCTCTAGCCATTTCAGTGGCAAAATTACCTGGCAGATGGCATCTTCCCACCTGAAAGCCATGCTTAATATTCGGAGCCAGCGTTGAAAGAGGGAGCATGGAGCTCACTTTATGCATTTCCCAAATGGGGTCACTGAGGTTCTTTGGGAGGTGAGCTGACCAACTCAGGAGCACCCAGCTGATCTTGACCCCTGAACTAGTGCTCCTGCTGCACACCTGCTTCTCCCTGGAGCTTTTTTAGGGAAGACAAGAGAGTGGGATGCGGGGGGTGGGGGTGGGGGGGCTGTGGGAGGTGGGTGAGGGGTTATTCAGTATCATTTCATCATCACCCTACCAGCCTGGAGGCAGGTTCCCCAGGGAAAGGAGAAAAGGATGGTCCCGTCGGCAGGCACTTCCGGAAGCGCCCTCAAATGATTCCCAGCCGGGGTTCAGGCAGCTAGAGGGGCGCCAGGCGCAAAATCCAGCCAGCGGCCCTGGGAGGAGCCGACGCCGCAGGCGAGGAAGGGCGGGAAGCGAGGCCGCCTCCGCCTTCGCATAGACCCGCAGGCCTTTCAGGCAGCCGCGCTCGCGGCCGGGACCTAAGGCTGCCTCACTTCCGAACCGGGCTCGGACGTGTCCCTCTTCCTCGGGGCCCCTCCCATGGCTTCACCTCCCCCCACGGTCGTGGTCTCCGGCGCCTGGGCCCCACCCCCGGGCTGAGACGCTCGGCAGCTCTCGAAGAGGAGAGTGTGGCGGGAAAGGCCAGGGGCGACTAAGCCCGCTTTGCCTTAAACTTGGCCCCTCCCCACCCCGCTCTCCCCCTGCTCCGCACCCCAAGTCCCTAGGGTCTGCCTTCTGAAGGCGACAAGTTATCCCGGACCGCGAGAGTCTGAGAGCCTGTGAGAAACAGGACGGGGCCGGTTGAGAATTCCCCTCACGCGCCGCGCCGCGCCGCGCCGCGCCGCGCCCCGCCCCGCCCCGCCCCGCCGAGGTCGCGACTTGGGGATAAGTGGGGACAGGTGACCAGGGGGCGGCGCGCTGCTAACCTGGGGCGCGAGATTGGCCCAGGTCATTTGGACTCCAGCCAGGCGACGGGAGGGGAGAGTAGCCCTTAGGCCGGAGACAAAGCGGGAAACCGCCGTCACCACGCCTCGAGGGCGGGGGCGGGGCCTGTGGGGGCGGGGCTAGGGCGGGGCAACGCTGACGTAGCACCATAAGTAAGCCAATGACAGCCACCTCCTCGTGGAGGTTCCATAGTGTAGTGGTTATCACGTCTGCTTTACACGCAGAAGGTCCTGGGTTCGAGCCCCAGTGGAACCAAATGGCGAGCGTCACTTTTCAAATTTTTTCACGTATCCCCCAAAACTTAGCAAAAAAGTGAAATGCGAAGACAAAGTGATTTTCCTCTTCACTTTCTGTTATGTGTTTATATTTCTCAGCCCGTCATTATAGGAGAAGCATTCCTGGCAGTCCGCTGCCGCCATTGCCGGACCCACGAAACAGGCTGGGTCGAATTTGTTGTTCCTCCTGGTTCTGGGCGACCAGGGACAGTGGGTAGATCTTGGGCAAAAGACAACCTGGGCAAGTCCGGATAGGATAGTTCCCAAGTACTGTTGTAAATGTTCAACATGTCCTATCCGATATAACTCTCAAAATAATTCTATGAAATAGGAATTATTATCAGCATTTTTATAGGTGGGAAAAATTGAGGCGCAGAAACTTGACCGAAGTTACAAAGCAAGAACTGGGATTTGCACCCAGTAGGGCTGAAAATCTATGTCCCTTAATACTATATGTTGTTTCTCATAATTTACTTCACCAATTCCCCATCCTTGGCTATTACAATGGTTTCCAGTCGTGTTAATACAAGGAACGCAACAAGATACGTCTTTGAAGATAACTATCCCTCCCCTCCTAATTTAGTATGTTATGGGGTGAATAAGTACCAACAGGATGCCAAATTGCTTCCTAAGAGAGGGAATTGATGCCATTTTGATGCCATCTTGAATTCAAGAATGTTAGTGCTTACTGACAGGCGATTATGCAAGGTCACATACCCCCCCTCCCCTCCCCAAGAAGATGATGGCAGAGAAAGGATTAAGACCTGGGATTACAGATTCCAATTTCTATTTCCCCGATGTTTAAATATAGAATATAACCAATATCTTCCTTGACTAAACCAACCTCCAAAGGATGTATTGTGAGGCAGGTAACTGGGGGTAGGGGGTGGGGGTGGCAGGGAAGGGTTACCTTGATAGGGCTCAGCCCCAAACTGAAGAACTAAATGGATTAAGTTGCTTAAGGAGGCCAGAGCTCATGTTAATCCCCTGGTCCCGGGGAAGCTCTCCATTTCAGTCAGGAAGAGCTGCGGCCAGGACCAGGGGACAATGCCATGCCAGGTAGAAGGCTTCTTGTTACTGCTTCTCTTTGGCTGTGAAGGTATGTGCTCTTCAACCATTATCATTCACTAAATCATGCAACCGAATTCCTAATATCATTGAAATAGAATCGGATCAATTAAAAAAGCACTTTTGATTAGCAGTGCCTGTTATTGATTTTATATGTGTTAATAGCTACCAATTGTATTTGCGTGGATATGGTCCTTTAGGTCTTGCTACTGGCTCACCTTCAAAAGTCCAAAGGATGCTTAAAATGGCAAGGGGGGAAAATGGGTCTCAGGACCTGTGTAATATAGCTCTCGGTTGTACCAATGAATAAGACAATCTGATGTATTCTCAAAAAATTGTAGGAACCAGAGTGATTGTATAATTACGTCGTTCAAATTATACTGGGATGATCTAGAAGGTAGAGCGGATGTCATAATTCTGCTGGGACAACAGGTGTAAACCACGCCTGTCCCAAGCAAATCGGGATGTAAGGTGACTCTAGCTTAAATACGGATTAACCTAACACCCGGAGTACCACTGGACTCTAATCCAACTCCGAAAACCCTCAAAGACTTGACACATTCAGATAGTTTTAAATGTCTGTATATGACCCTGGTAGAAGTAGAGATGTGGTTAAATAGGGGCAAATTACAGGTAGGTCTCTACTATTGCCTTTAAATTCAACTTTCATATCCTATCTCCATCTTGGATAAAAGTCTTTCATAGCTCACTCAAGACTAACAACCCCAAATCCACCACCATGAAGGCCATTCTGACTCAAAGCAAGTCTATAGGACAGGATATAGAACGGCCCCCTTTGAGAGTCCAAGGCTGACAGCCTCATCTTTCTTCTGAAGAATGGCTGGTGGGTTCAAACTGCTGACTCTTCTGTTAGCAGCTCAGCGCATAACCACACAACCACCAGGGCTTCTCTGCAAGGTAACATACCCATGAACTCAGATTTCTTCTCATGACCATCAAGTCAATCCTGACGGACTTGATTAGTATATTATTCTAAGGTGTGCATACTTCTCTAGTGTAATTCTTCCTCGGATCCGCAAATAGACTTGTCTATTGTTTGGCTGAAAATTGAAGTACCGGGGTGAGTTCAGTTCCAGACTTGAAGGGTAACTCAGAGAGTTCCACCAGTCTCGGAGATTCCCAGTAAGCCTGGTCTCTTTTAGGATTTTGAGGTTCTGTTCCACGTGTTTCTCCTACTCTATCCTTCTAATGAAGCTCCTTTCAGGTTTCTGTAATCTGGATGGAAATATATCACTGGGCTTTTTTCCTGCGGTACCGCGAAGGGAAACCATAAGACCAAGAGTCTTCATCTAATTTACTCTTGGAGGTTGGTCTCGGTCCCACAGTGGCAGTGGCTCCTCATGACTGAGATGAAGTAAATGGATTGATTTCGATTCTACATTAAATGAGGATTCCTTTGAGAATGTGCAAGTCGTCAGAGTACGTTACTCTCTCTGTCTTATGATTGAAGCAGGCATATGTTTATCTGACATTGTATATTCAGAGTTAAATGCCAGTGATGATTTTCAAGGAATCTACTTTATTAATATCTATTATGTCACTACTTGCTCATGTTATTATATAAAAGCAAAACAATCACCAACCCTCACATTACAGGCGAGTGCCCTTCCACAGGGATATCAACCACCCAAAGATGATAGCTTGTTGTTGTTTTTAAGCAACTTCACTGAGATGTTATTTACATACCATTAAATTCACCCATTTAAAGTGTATAATCAGTAATTACAGTATATTCACAAGGTTATGCAAGCATCACACCATCTAATTTCAGAATATTTTTCATCATTCTCAAAAGAAGCTCCATGCCCGTTAGCAGTTATTCCCCATTACCCCTTCCCCAACCCCTGGCAACTACTCATCTACTTTCTTTATATAGACTTACCTATTTTGGACATTTCCTCTAAATTGAATTATACCATACATGACCTCTTGTCAAGCACTGAACCTAGTATTTGTTATTTATTTATTTTCAGATTCATCCATGTTGAAGCATTATGGAGAGCAGATTTATCCACAAATATGGCTGTCCCCTACAATACTAACACTTTCACACTGCATGCAATTTTCTTCTTTCTTCTCCATGAGAGGCACATCAATGCAGCAGCATGCTGTTTTCTCCTGTTTCTCAAATAGATTGGAAGCTGGCTACAAACAGCTTTGATCACTCCTCATATAATGCTTTGTTTCCCTTGACTTCATCTACTTCCACGGGAAGGAAAGCCTTGTATTTCATGAAAATGAATCAGAGAGACTAGAATAGCCTTTCTTAGTTGTCTAATAGGTAGGTACTTTTCTCTTGAGTTTACAAGGGTACATTTTGAGAAACAGGCAGGCCTGGAATGTTCTGAATGTGATAACTAGGGTCTCTCCATGGATTAGTACTTTGGGGAAAAGGACGGCAGGATCCCAGAGTGTATAAATCTCACCTTGGTGACTGGCAGACCTCTATGACTCTATAGTGAAAACGCATAGCCTATAGAAGAATCTCAAAAACAATTTAAGCGAGGGGGGGGGAACGGGACTATGCAACCACAGGATATAAATATAAAGCCTTTTCTATTTTCCCTTTAAAGGCTTACATGTTCTCTTTCTCTCTTGCCAACAATGTTATTTCCTAGTATTAGAAAATATTGTAGTCAAAATTGCTATTGCCTTTGTTCTTCAGTTTTTTGATTACATCATTGGGGGGGGGGGAGAGGCTGTTACAGCTGCCACATTGCTGCTCCCTTGGTGACAGCTTTTCCTGTAAATGCTTGTTGTTCCTTTTCTCTCTGCTCATTTCCATAAGGATCTGGCACCTCAGAACCCCAGGCTGCCTACAGACAAATGCTTTCTGGGGAAGGCAGCCTGGGAGGGAAAAAAAAAAAGAAAAGAAAACACACAACAAAAACTGCAAGAAATCTGCCCAACATCTGATTCAGCAGAGAAACGGACTCTGCAAACCAGGCCTTCCAAACTGGCTCTGCAAACCAGGCCTTCCATTTAGCCTTCTTCCTCCCCACAGGTAGACAGTGACAGCATCTTCTTCATCTCCCCCTCCATCCCACCCCACATTTTTGCCTTCTGCTTTGTTTTTATAGAAGGCAAGAACCACTGGCAGCTGTCCGTACACTCTGCCCCGTGATTTCTGGGTAATGCAAAGGGTCTTGCAGGCAGGGACGACAACGGGAAGGATTGGCTGAGCCTCTCATGAATGCTGAGTTTGCTCAGTTGCTACTAAAGAGATCCTCTTCAATGACAAACACTGCTTCTGGACCAAACTGATTTAGGGAGACACCCTTGCTTGTGGGTGCCCCTGAATAGGGTCTTGGTACAAATGATGTTTGCCCAACAGACAGCTCCTTTCAGAAGCTGCATTTTTGCCTTCCCCAGCTTCTCTTGAAGATGGGCATATGGGTGGAGTGTCTTCCAGATTAACCAACCCCCCAAGCCAACAAGATACTAATTATTCATCTGTTTTATAATTTATGGTGCACAGCTGCTGCCTGGAGTCGTGGGTACCCTAAGCGTTATGGCAGGACTTCAAACTAATTCAAATCTATTCAGTCAGGACTGATGTAACAAAATCGTAAGACTTGAGTTTTTTGAAAAATATAGGTGTACTGAATGAGAAAAATTACAGGTCTAAGACCTGGAATGGGCAACTCAGAGGAGGTGTAGTGAGCCCTTATAGAAGCCTAGGGTTAGAATGGAAAGTAAGACACATCCAATGTGGTGCAGCCGGTCACCATCTTTGAGTGGGACATGGTTGTTTCCAACTCTGCCCAGTTCAGAGATTTGGTTGCTATGCAACACTTACACTGCCCTCATTTTCTAAGAAAGAGATTAAGTTTCCAGCAAGGCATCAAACAGTATGCTTCCCCATTCCGGTTATCATGCCAGTATTTCCACCGTTTACAAATTCAGGCCCATTCCTGTTTCACTTCATCAGCCATGACTGAACTGGGAAGAACTGGGTTGAAGCCTTTGGGTGGTTAGAAGCATAAGTGCTTCCCCTCCTTTGCTAACTTAATGAATTTTTCAAAATCCTATAATGAGCGATAATAACAATAATAATTATCATCCTGTTCTTTCATTTTGCTTTCCCTAGTTTCTCAGCCCTTGTGGATTTTTTTCCTGGCAGATATTTACTTAGTTTGACATCTTCTAGAAAATAGTTTGGTGAGCTTTCATGAGTCTATTTTCATTTCATTTTTAACAGTTTTATTGGCGCTTAATTCACATATCATGCGATTCAATAGTTCAATCACATTGAGAAGAGTTTCATAATCATTGCCACAATCAATTTGAGAACATTGTCTTTCTTCTTGTACTCATTATCTCCCCATTTCTCCCCAATGTCCCCCACCATACCCCCAAGAAATCATTAATCCAGTTACTGTCTCTATAGATTTGCCTAACTTGGATTTCATATTCAGAAAAACATACATCTCCCACCCACCCATCCATTCCTTCCCCCCAAACCAGAAAACCTAACAATGACAAAGTAAAAAACTAGAACAAATTTAAAGTAGGTCAAATGGGACATCAAATAATAAGGTGTTCAATTTTAACCTAACTGCACCTGCAACAATCTACTTTCCACTGCACTCCACCTGTAGCAAGGCCATTCAATCCCTGCTCTGTGGTCAGAGAGAATTCACTGGAGGCTTAATCCACATGTATTTCCCCTTCATTTCAAAACAAAAAACGGAAACAACTTTAAAATGGGTCAAATGGAAGATCAAACAGTAAGGTATTACATTTGAATCTAATTACATCTGTCATAATGGACTTCACAAAGGCCTTTGTCTGATAACAAGACTATTCACATCCCTTGACTGTGGGGGGAAGTCAAATACTTGCTGCCAGACTACTGTCTCATCCCACAGCAGGGCTGGGCCTGCTCCCTGCTGCTGGAGACAATAGACTACCTCTCTGGAGCCTAAGGCCATTAGCTTGGTTCCTGGGCGGAGTTCACACCCAACTGATAATGGTTCCTATGGAGACCCAAAGTCTAGTTAAGCTGCTACCAGAAATCTAGGATCCGCCCATCTTGCCGCATGTACACCCCCAATCCCTCCTCCTTCTGTAGTGCATATGTCCCTAGATCACCTCCTCCCATCACTGTAATACCTGTAGCACAACCCTTTCCTGTGAAGTATGTCTTCACCTGTAATGTGGGGGCTTGCACGTCCCCAATGTCCCCAGAGAGTATAAAA